TCACAATATTATAATAACGTGGCATTGACGAATAAACGTGTGTCTGTCAGTCAATAATTCATCAATAATCAACTTGACTCAGTTCTACCAAATACAGTATTTCATTGAATTAGAGATAAAATCAGTTCAACCAAATACAGTATTTCATTGAATTAAAGATAAAATTATAAGATTTTTCGTTTTATATAATAATTGAAACACAAAATATATGATTAACTGACGATTATTTATTTGTTAGATCCGTCAAATTCTTGAGCAACAAAACTATGAATAAATTTGATTGTATTTTCCGATTAAAAGTTATCATAATATTCGATTTATATTATCCTTTAATACGATATAACTTAAAAAATAGATTGTTTGTTGAACCTTAATTTTTTTTTTTTGTACTCCATATATAATAATGAAATATCTTAAATTGGGTAGGTACTATGGTGTTGACGAAAAATTATCAGTAATACGTGTCATAGTTATGCCATTAATAATATTGATCAACCACACTTAATATTGGACTTAAATTATCATTAAACGGTTATAGTATGATTTCCTGTCATTTACCGAATATCATCCCTAATATTATAATATTAATATCGGACATAAATGATGTATAAAATTTCGGATTTTAATAAGTGATATATAAAAACAATAGATTTTAATGAATCACAATAAAAAAGATTAATTTCTTAAATATTTTCCCATGGTTTTAGGATTTTGGCTTGTCAATATATAAAAATGATTGTCCGCCAAAAGATTATTTGATCACAAAATTTAAAAATAAAATAATGATGTTAATTAACAAAGTTTTAAATAATTATAAAAATAAATATATAATAATAAAAATAATAACACAATATATTACGTAAACTTTTTTTACGTGAGAACCATAAAATTTTATTGTAAATTGGAATCGGAAGAAGATTTGGAAGTCCAAATATGTTTCCAACTTCTAATGCACATCACTATGAAATATTACAATAGCGTGGCATTGTTTAAATGAATGCGTTTCTGAAGTTAGTAATTTATTAATAATCAACTTGACTCAGTGATTCTCAAGTCTACCAAATACAGTATTTCATAATTAAATAAAGCCGTAAGTTTATATAATAATGAAACACAAAATATATGATTAGCTGAAGATTATTTATGTCAAATTCTCGAGCAACAAAGGCTATGAACAAATTTGATCGTATTTTTCGATTAAAATTGGGTTGACATCATATATCCGGTTTATATTATCCTTCATTATGATGTAATTTTAAAAAATAGATTGTTTGTTGAACCTTAATTTTTTTTTTGTACTTCATATATAATAATGAAATAGTAATTACCGAACTTAAACTGGGGTCAGTACTGGGTCAGTACTATGATGTTGAAAAAATTAACGGTAATAGAGTAACGTGACGTTGTTAAATGCGTGTTTATTAGTTATGTCATTAATAATATTGAGTACCGACTTTATTGGTTATTCTTTAGATTAGAGATAAATTTTTTTCATCTACTGTAATAACTGTATATAATAACAATATTTGATTAACAGACGATTATTTATTTGTTAAATCCATCAAATTTCTTGAGCAACAAAATTTTAGACAAATTTGATTATATTTTTCTATTAAAAGAAGTTCTTGGCTATAAAATTATTTATCAATAATATATATAATAATATATATAATAATAAAATAACTTGTCATAATATTCGGCTTAAATTATCATTGAACAAATTGTAGTATGATTTTATAATTATGAAAAAATAGATTGCTAGATCATGTATGGAAATAACGATGATGTGTATTGGATGCTTCAATAATCTTTATTGGAATTGGCCTTCCAATTCCGATTCTTCTAATATTCCGATAATTTTCAAATGTATATATCTATGTGCATTGAAAACTTTCCAATAATTTTTATTAGAATTAATAGCTTCCAACTTCCAATCACAAGGTGAATAGATCATTTCCAAATTTATTCCCTATGATGTTAACGAACAATTTAATATAATAGCATTGCATTGTTTAAATTAATGAATGAACACGTGTCAGTCGTGTCATGTCGGTTAATTCAGTTAATAAATCAACAATCAACTGCTAAATACAGTATTTCATTCTTTAAATTAGAGATAAACTCGTATGATTTTTCGTTTATATAACGATTGAAACACAAATATACGATTAACTGACGATGATTTATTTTCTGTCAAAACCTTGAGCAAAACTTTATCGCTGTTTCAAACTAATGCGACCTCCTGTCCTAAGGAGATCGGTTTTCACAAATCTGGAAAATCCGGAATTCTCCTGTATCACTATGTAATACAGTATTTCATTCTTTAAATTAGAGATATAATCGTAAGATTTTGTTTATATAATGCAATTCGTCTGTCAAAATTTTGAGCAATAAAACTTTATCGAACTAGTGCGACCCCTGTACGTCATCGTCATCCCCTGAGGAAATCAGTTTTCACAAATCTGGTGATTGATCTTGGAAAATTTTCAGTTATTTAAGTAGTTTCTCTTGAAATATGGTAGTGCTACACAAAGTTTAAAGCTCACTCATAGAAAAACTACTTAAATAATTGAGATTACTACAAGAATTCCTTCGGAAACCGCTAATAATCGACCATTCTCTATATAGTTATCCAGAGTTACTAGATTTGTGAAAACTGATTTCCTTAGGGGATGATGTACAGGGGGTCACACTAGTTTGAAAAGCAGCGATAAACAAATTTGATCGTTTTTTTCCGATTAAAATAAGTATTTGGCTAACCAAATTCATTATTTATGAATAATAATTTTTATTAATAAAATCTCTTGGCATAATACTCAGCTCAAAATTATCCTTGAACCAATTGAAATGTGATTTTAAAATTTTAAAAAAGACTGCTAGCTCGATCAACGATTCGTAAATATAATCACGCAACCATGTGTAGTAAAAATAATAAAATAGTAATTATTTAATCGTTCTGTCGAACTTAAATTGATCCGTTTATACCAAAGACCTTAATAGAGAATTGTTTAGCGGTTTAAGTGCGTTAAAAAAATTAACATCGTCGCGATGATTAATTTGTCCATCCTGGTAAATCGAATTAAATTACGGAAAAACTAGCAAATTTAATAATATGGTCATTTAAAAATAGATATTAGAGATCAAATTTCAATATTTAGTCTTACAATTTCATTGGAAAATTTAAGATCAGGAAACGTAGAATTATTGCTAAATGACGATTTATTATTTCGTCAGCTAATGTATTTGCCATGTAGAACTCACATGTAAACGTGATTTTATGTTATTAATTGATATACGATCATTCAATCTCTAATATTTACCTGTATTCTTGCATAAATCGCGGCTGAACTTATTAAATTGGGCCAGCACTATAGGGTTAATAAAAAATCAAATCATCCTTAAATTCATATATTTAATCTTAAATACATATAGATCCTACTCATATAATTTTATAGGGTTAAGGTACTTTATTTTACTAGGTAGGGGGTTAATCATAGAAATGGGTTTAAAGTTTACTGTAGTTGGTTAGATTTTAAATAGTTTCGTTTATAATTTCCTCACCGTCGATGTAGATTTTTCTCTTCTTCTAGTTAATTTTTTTATTCACTTCTTCAATTTTGTTTTGTTCTAACTATTACTGATAAATAAAAATAAAAATAAAAATACATATAGATCCTTAATTAGTAAAGAAAAACCATATATACCAGAATTTTTTAATAGTATAAATAAGTTTCATCCCGGTTATATTTTATAAATTTAATTATTAATTATTTTATAATGTAGGTTCCGTGTACCTTTCAAAGGTTTTAAGATATAAAATACTTTAAAAATTTTTCCTTTTTTCATTATTTATGAAAATTCATTTTGTCATTAACTTTTTCAATGATATATAGCCGGATCACTGGCCGTGTGCGTGAACAGATAAACATTGTAAATGTCACTTCCGCAGAAATTATGAACATGCGAACTACTATATTTGAAAAATTATAAGAACATTGTAGTGACCCCAATTATTATCTTCCATTTTGTAATTAAATGTTATTTGAATGAATTGTATATGAGGAAATAAATTAGTAAAGTTGTTAAGTAACACTACTTCAGAATTTTGACCCGTGTATCGATCAGGCATGAGGCAGTATCCATTACAGTCCCGCCAGCTCAATAGCTTCCTTTATCACAACATCCACTTGTTTCAGCTCACAATCTAGCCCTGAGCTCTGTACGATAAAAGGTTTTCATTTAAAAGCGCCAAAGCGTCTTTCTTGTATTAATCCGCTGGTTAATATCTCACTTTCAAAACGTTTTTCTCCATCATTATAATTGTAATTTACGTGACTATTATTAATTAGTCATATCGATTCTGGATTCAACATAAATATTTTACTCAGTAAAAGAAAAATTAATTTGTATCTTCTTTGTAGTAATAGTTAGTTTAGTTTAAATAAATCAAATGAAACTAAATTCTGTAATCAAATTAATTTCAACATTCTATATTTCTATTGGCAATGTTTCTATGAGTGATTCCGAATTTTAATAAAGTCGAAGTTTCCACAAAAATTTAATAAATAAAAACGACAAAGCAAAAAGTTTGAAGAGAAAAATAAATACTTAGCAAAAAAGTATTACACTAAATTTTCGAAACAAATTTGATTATAATACACGAAACCAAAAAATTATTAGCATGTCATTAACGTGTCATTTATAAAAAATTATCGTTTTGAAGATTAAAAAATATAAATCGTTTCCGAAAATGAAACAAATTGCAGTTTTGCAAAGCAATTTATAAACGATCCATCATAATATTTTATTGTATGATAATCTTTATGATACTGTGTCTAAAGTACGATTCATCTAAAGTACGGAAAGTACTTTATAATTAAGAATTTAATTAATGGTTTTACATACCAGAAATTTCAAATTATTCAGACAGAGCTGAAAATTATTCTTGAGGATTGACAATAATTAAATACAGTTGGATATAAAAAAAAAGAATCTGATGATAACCTGAATTTTATAAAATAAAGCTTTGAAAATCTTAATCCTCAAGTCTCTGGACCATAAGAATATGCACTTCCAGTTATAAATAAATAAAATTTTAATAAATAATGTATAACCGATAATCATTCGTTCCGAACTTGGATCATTATGTTACCATACGATTGTGTTTGGTTAACTTTTATTAAATTTCTGGTTGAAAGTGCTTATAAGATAAATTACGAATCAGAAAGAATGGTATAATTATATTTTAATCAAATAAATTATGTTATTGTTATACCTAAGATATAATAAAAATCCCTCGCCACATCTGCTCTTCTAACATGTTGAGTTTCCATAATGTCTTGAAGAGTGGCAATTGATACGTTTGCATCATTCATAATTGTCTTAATGGATTCAAAAAAATTCATTGCTTCTTGCTCGCTATTCACAGCTATAGCCATGGACTGTCCTATGCGAGCTTGACTTGAATTATCAAACAGAGGCAAATCTAATGAAAAGTTTATAGATCAATTTTTATTTACAAAATATTTTTTTATTAAGTTAACGAAATACCTCCAAATATCGGTAAATTAATATCATCGTCTAACATTCTATCATCCGAGAAATCAATTGGTGGCGCATTGAAGCCCATTGAAACAAGTCTTTGCCCACCGTCACTAAAATAATACATAAATAACATTATAAAAAAATTATACTGAAAGATTTAACTATTGAACTATACAATTGTATCAATTACCTTCTAAGTTGTCCCAATAAATCGATATTCATGTCCATACTGCCACCCATTGATGAATTCTGATCAAGAAAATGGTCTTTTGGTAGTGAAAGAAAAAAAAAGAAAATAATTTTTTTTTGACATTATCTACATTATCTCTAAAAATAATGAGTGCATTATAATACATACCAATTTCAGGATATTTGTCAAATCCTGAGCTTTCCATTCCGGATATAATGGCTGAATTTTGCTGACTTCCTTCTTTACGAAGTCGCTCGGGTTCATCACTTTTAATACTACTATCTCTAACGCCACGCTGAAGAAAAGTGAAAAACGATGAATTAGAAACCGTATTTCAAATTTAAATTATTTGTTACACTAACTGGAATATTAGGTCCTTCTACATCAATGTTATTTTCTGAGTTATTATGTCCATTTAAATTTATAACTAAAAAAAAGATATTTATTTTAATGAGATGAAGTGCAATTTGTAAATTTATCTTTACACAATAAGAACTTTATGCCAAAACATTTACCCGAAGTTAAAGATTGAATTCTTCTCTTTTTTACATTTTCATCTAAATAAATGTAGAAGTTATAAGAAAAATCGCATTATTCTAACAAACAGAATACGATACGTACCGTAAAGCATAGGAGCGCAATGCTGCTGCCATAGAGTGGCTAGTTGCGGAGCCAGAACTACAAAATTTACGTTATATTAATATACTATATATAAAACAATAGCTAAAAATCACTTACAAGGCTTTCCAGGAGTATAAAGAATGTTATCTAATTGCATTTTATTTTGAAGTGTTCTCGTCTTTAAATTACGAAAAATAAATTAAATATTAGGGAAAAAAAAGTATCATTAATGAGATAATTTAACAACCTTTTCTCTTGCAGCAATTTCAGCATCTTCCAGATCATCTTTAACGCTTTGACGCATTTCGAGTATCTGCTCATTTGTCAACTCAGTTTCTTCATCAAACATTACACGAATTTTACGACGATTTCTACGCTTTTGTTCAGGTTGTTCATCAGGCACATTTTCTTTGTTTATATTATCTTGTTCTTCAGAGGGTAGTATTTCTTCATTATTCCTCATATTTTGTGCCTCAATATCAACATCGATGTTCATAGATTGGGTTCCTAATACATCATCTACTTCCTACAAGTTTTTTTAAAGATTATTTTCGTATTTTCTTATTATAATACGATAAAGTTTAAACTACCATTTCTTGTAATCCTTCATCATTTGTAGTATCATTTATTTTACGTCTTTTGTTCTTTCTTCTTTCTTCAAGACCAGCTTCGTGTTCATCTCTTACTCTTCTGATTATATCATCCATTACGTTAAAAGCTGTATCTTGTTGTCCTTCTGGCTGTGTAATAAACTCATGCAAACAACCTTCTGCATCAAAGTCAATTCTTATGCTAAAGGCGAACAAATAGAAAATTAATTGATGTTGTCACTTTGTAATTACGAAAAAGAATAGTATATATTTACCCTGAATCATCTATCATAAGGACATCGTCATCCAAATCAAGATTACTAAATCCACCAGATGATGCAGTAAATCCGGTCTCAATTTCAGGTAAGGTTATTAATGAATGACGACTTTTATTAGAAGCTCCTATACAGACAGAAAGTAATATTGAGCGGTTTATCAATCACTTTATTGCGATATTGTAAGTACCTGCATCTGAAAATGATGAAAATTGTTCAAAATTGACATCTATACGTGGTGGCTTATATTTCAAGCAAGTTAGTTAAGACGCAAATTTTAGAAAAGGACTTTAAAAAAATTTTATTATTACCATTATAATATCATGTATAGGAATATTTAGCTCAATTTCGAAAAAAGGATCATCATTTAAGGTGATCGCTTCATACCTTTAAAATGTTATTCAAAATCATTAAAAAGATCTCAATAGAAATATATAATGAGTATTTTTTACCTAGCTTGTGGAATAATCATATCTATTGATTCTCTACGCATTTCAATCAAAGCTCTTTGCAAACTATGCCAGACTCCATTCACATCAGCTATCAAATATGTCAAAGTTGAATTACGTAATTATGTTAAAAAAGACGAAAAAAAACGAGAGATCTTTACTGTAATAAAAATGATATTGCTGATGATAAACGCGTGTGATTCCAATCATAAGATTAGAGGTTAATCGAAGCGCAAGTGGTTCAGGCGGTGTAGTAACATATTCACTATCATGGCCGCAGCAAAATAAGTTAAATATGGTTTATTTTAAAGTTATTTTATTTAAATAATGTTTACCAAGCCCTGATCAGATTAACGGAATTTACTTCCTTTTTTGAAAGTTTTCGAAGACTAGATCGTGAACCCAGAGTAGCAGCCAACCTATAATTATTAAAACATATATTGTATTCGAAACATTTATTTGGTAAATGAAGTAATTTATTTTAAAAAATACCAAATAATCCCAAATCCACCATTTTTTCGTGTTAATATTTCTTTGGAATAAAACATCCTGATCGCAAAGAATTAATTCGGGAATAAATACTTTATTTAATTTGTACACGGATAATGGATTAAGAAAAAATTTGTAAATTCCTATAAAGAAAATCAACATATATATACTAAATTATAATCATTAATGACGATCATATTAATTCGATAAACTTTTGATCATTTTTAATTTATGCTTATGTAATTTATATGATATACATACAGTATATGTTGTTTTTACTTATATTAGTCGAGTTATTTTTATATTTTATAATAAAAGAATATTTAAAGTTGCGATTGAATTATTTAACGCAGAGACGGTGCAGATTCGAATCTTTAACAGTTTTAACAGTTTAAAGAAATATGAAAAAAATACAACGGATACAACATAATATTGGAGTATTTATATTATATTGTAAGACTGGAAGCCACGCGGCTTTGCTGCATAATCGGGTGGGCTGTCATGGCTCTAATTCTTCAAATGTTTAACTTGGACATATAATCCAAATTTACTCGCACTAATTATAGAAAAGTAAACTCTAAAAAGGAGAAATATTATATGGAGATATAGCAGAATAACTTTATTTCGTTGATATAGAACTCATAAAACTAGAGAATCTAATTTGATGTAGCGTGTTCAACTGTCAACAAATTCTTGCAGTACTACTGATGGACTGTTAAATCCCTCCCTTATTCGCTGGAATGATTGGAAATTCATCTCTATCGTTTAATACTGGTTTTGCCCTTTCATTTTATTTTAGTTGTTTATGTAGATCAGACTTAGTTAAATCAATCGATAGTCTAATTAAACACGTGAGTATAAAACGAAATTAATTACATCATTGTGCATGTTGGTCATTTAAATTACTTGCTAAATGACGGATTTGGCTTTTGAATTTAATATGGCAACTAAATCGTTAAAAACTTCGATTATAACTTCAGTAATATCTCTCGGGATTATTTTTACATTATCTACAGAAATAATATATCTTATTCTCAATACTTATTTATCAAAAGAAGTGTAAGTAATAAGCTTTTTTTTTTTTTACTTAAGCTAAAAATAATTGAAATGATTTTATCTTTAATTTTATCAGGAAAAATTTTCTGAAATTTCCAAGGACTTTGAAAGATGTTAAAATACTTTATGATGCTTTAACAGGCCATGAAAACAATAATATTCATGTTTTAATATGTTACGTTGCAACTTATATATTGTAAGTACAAAAATTCTTTTTATTGTTTTCCTTTCTTTGATTTTTGATTTACTTTTTTGCCTTTTTTAGTTTACAATCTTTTTCATTACCAGGGAGTGTAATGCTTAGTGTATTGGGAGGAACTTTATGGGGAAGTTGGAATGCTTTAATACTTGTTAGTTTTGTAAGTAAGATTCAATTTTTGTTTTTTATTATTTGTTTATTAATTTTTTTTTTTTTGGACTCTATTCGGCAAAAGTGTTCGGGTACGGGCTCAACTATTTGTTACTTGTTGTCTTATTATTTAGGGCAACCAATAATACAGAACTATTTATCTGAGCGCATGGAACGTTGGAATGAGAAAGTTTGTAATATCTTTGATGAATTAATTATTTATATTCTAATAAGTTTAATCCCTTTCTCCAATCAAACTCTTATAATTAGCTAAATGCTCATAGAAAGGGATTATTTTCATATATTATATTTCTTAAAACAACACCTTTCTTACCCAATTGGTTTATAAATATAGCATCACCTCATCTAGGAGTTGGTGTTGGAGTGTTTTATTGGGCAACTTTCTTTGGTATTAAATATATATCAATACTCTAAATAATGTTTATTTAATATAGGTATATTCTAAATCGATTTTTCATTTTTTAAGGTGTTGCACCATTATCATTTATTCATATTCAAGCTGGAGATACAATTCACAGACTATCAGAAACTGATGAATTTACATTTTTGACTATACAAAATGTCGTTACAGTGTCATTAGTTGCTATTGCAGCTTTAATTCCTATTATATTAGGAAAAAGATTTGAATCACAAGAAAAGAGCAAAGTTGGTTAATGTTTAGAGATATTAAGGTTACCTTTCAAAATCCCTTTAAAGTTTGTTTTGGACTTTTTGATAAGATATTATTATAATTTAGCAAGATTATGGCAATTTATCACCATCATCATTTCACTATTATTATTATTACTATTAATTACTATATAATATTAATTACTATTATCATTAATATTACTATTATTAGATTATGGCAATTTTGGAATTCTTAATAAAATCTGATGTTTATCACCATCATCATCATTTCACTATTATTATTATTACTATTAATTACTAAATAATATTAATTACTAATTATTATCATTAATATTACTATTATTAGATTATGACAATTTTGGAATTCTTAATAAAATCTGATATTTATCACCATCAATTATTATTATTACTATTAATTACTAAATAATATTACTATTATTACTATCATTTAATATTATAATTAGTTATATCAAACTCCATTTTTTTTTAATATTGTTATATTAACTTTTTTTGTTTCCATAATTTCCTGAAAATTTGGCAGAAACCGCTATAGAAATTCTTTTATAATTAAAGAATTTTCTTCAAGGTTACTGACCATCATTATGGTCTGTTTGTTATGCCTTAGGTAGATCCTGTTTTTCATTCCTTTTTTATAAGCTTTTGTTGTCATAGAACATTGATCAGTTGTGATATTCAATTAATTGTTAATCTTTGGATAATGTTATGGCAATTACTACACTAGTAAAGGTTGTACAGTTATACAGTTATAATATCCAAATTTGTGTGAAGACCCTTTGTATTTTAGGACGAAAAGTGGAATTTTGAGTAGTAACTTTTATTAATTTGGTAATAATAATAATAAAAAATGAAGACATACATATTGGATATACGCGTTGTTATGTGTGAATCGTTTCGGAAACAGCACAGAATCAGGGGTTTCTATAATTCTATTGTTTCAATAGGTGCTTGCTGTGCTGACAAATTGGGAAATAAATGCGATTGTTAAATTGATTTATCTGCTGCGGAGAAAGTTGTTTCATTATCATAATGAATGCAATGAATGCAATAAATGTCGGGTGTTTGCTTCGTGTAACTACAATTAGGCGATCTTTGATCACTAATCAATGGGCCGCAGGCTGCCGCAGAGCGATTAATAATCACCATTGCTTTATTTATTTATTTATTTTCGTTTAATTTTGTTTAAAATAGTTTTTAATTTTAAAATTTTATATTGGTAATTTTTTGAATTTCTATTTTATTATTTGGTAAGACGACATTTTTTTGCTTTTTATTACAATGTGATTAGAAATATCTTTAAAAAGACGTGTAAACTCAGTGGTTTTATCGTTTCTTTATAATAAATGCGATACTTGGTTCAGCATATAAATAAATATCAACTGAATGATTACTTTTATTTTTTGTTTTATTAACAAGTTACATGATATTAGTATTAACGACTTTTTGAATTGAATATAGGATATTTTTTCCGGCAATCCATATTTGATTAATTATTATATAAAATAAAATGCTTTGTCGTGATAAAGATGGCTGGGTAAAGGATCAAGATATTTGACAGAGATGAGATTTTTAAAATATTTTCTAATTATAATTTTGATTTGATTAGGGACCTTGGAGACCAGATTTGCCAAATCAACAGTTTCCGGATTTCACAGATTGTTTTGAAGAAGGGTAAATATTCGAAAACATAAGACGGTATATAATTTTTTTTAAACACTCATATAATTTATAAAATAATTTTTTTTTAGAGTTATATTGACATCCGTCAATTTATTGTTAATCGTACTTGGCTTTTATGAGATTCGTCGATACTCAAAGAAACATGCTGTTCTTCCACTTCACGCTTTAAATAATTGGCATAATATTGCAATAACTGTATGTAACTCATGATGATGTATTTTGAAATTAGAAAATTTACTAAAAAAAAATTTTTTTTTTTTTTAGATAACTTTATATTTGCTGATTGCCTTAAGTATAATAAACTTTGTTTCTACATTGTGGAGTGACTGGCAACTTTTAAATATAATGGTTATTTCATCTTTTATTAATTTATTCACAATGGTAAGCTACTTTGATTTTTTTACGTATGTGATTTTCATCAAATCATTTTCTTTTTAATTAATATATTAATATTGTGTTAGTTCGTCGCGTATTCAGTTTATAAAAAATCTTATACGCATAGTCACGTTTCTTCACCAGTATTATTGTTATACTGGCTCTTCTATTTGATTGCACATATTCTTAAATTGCGCACTTTAGTTTTAATGGGATATGCATCAAAACCATTTTATTTTTTCACCACTTTATTTTCTACAATATTGGTTTTGGTTGTATTTGTGCTAGAGTTACTTCCTAAACCACAAAGTGATTACGAACTTATTAATGGAGATGACAATGTAATTATACCTATTATAAATTTTGGTTTATTATAGAGGTTCTGCGTCGTTTTAATTTATAAGTTATTTATAGCTTAACTGCCCGGAAGAATCGGCAAATATATTCTCAAGATCTACGTTTTATTGGATGACACCTCTTATGAAGCTTGGGCATCAAAAATTTCTTACTATGGACGATCTATGGAATTTGGATCCTCAATATCGATCGAAAAAAATATCGGAAGATTTTGACGTTGCATGGAATAAAGAATTAAAGAAAAAAAAGTTGTTATCTTTTTTATTATATTTATATATTTCTATCTTTAACATATTCTTATTCTTATTACTTTTATTTTTTATTTTTTTTTATTAGTCCATCATTGTTAAGAGCAATTACCTTAACATTTGGAGGTCAATTTGCTTTTGCTGCTGTAAGAATTTTAATTTCATAGATATGTTTAGGTTTAATATATATTAAAATTATTTGAATTTAATAGGCATTTAAAGCTGTACAAGACATTTTGAATTTTGTTCAACCACAACTTTTGGGAGAACTCATGGAATTTGTAAATAGTCAGAGAGATAGAGAAACAAGTCAACCTGCTTATAGAGGCTATTGTATTGCTATATTAATGTTTGTTACAGCAGTGATTCAGACTATGTTCTTACATCAATATTTCCAATTATGCTTTATTTCTGGAATGAGGGTAATAATTTATTAGAAATGTTTTTATCATATCTTTAGAATTCTAAATTAGTATAACTTTATAAATTTATATTTTTTAGGTAAAAGCAGCATTGGTTACAGCAATATATCAAAAGGCATTCAAATTATCTAATACTTCAAGACAAAAATCAACTGTGGGAGAAATTGTAAATCATATGAGTGTTGATGCACAAAAATTAATGGATTTATTTACCTATTTACATATAGCATGGTCAGGCCCATTACAGATAATACTCGCACTGTATTTTCTGCATCAAACAATGGGTGTTAGTACATATGCTGGTGTGGGTATTATGATTATGATGGTTCCGGTCAATGCATATTTAGCTAATAAAATGAAAATACTACAAAAGAAACAAATGAAAAATAAAGATGAGAGAATTAAATTGATGGTAAGTTTGTATTAGATTTTTATTACTGTAATTAAGTTTTTTAATCTTCAATATTTTGTCTTCTATATTTATAGAACGAAATCTTGAATGGAATTAAAGTAATCAAACTTTATGCTTGGGAACAAGCTTTCCTGAAAAAGGTATGATATATTATATTTATTAATTTATTTCTTTATGAAAAAATTATAAATTAATTTTGAACTTTATATTTTTGAAGATTTCTTATGTAAGAAATGATTTAGAATTAAAGACGTTAAAAAGGCTTGGATATTTATATGCTGTACAAAGTTTTACTTGGACTTCAACAGTAAGTCATTTATTTCCAATATTTACGTAAATCCGAATATTTATTTTTATTTATATTTTTTTATCTCTTTAGCCTTTCCTGGTATCATTTGCAACTTTTGCGGTTTATGTGTTGATATCTAATTCTCCATTAACTGTACAAGTTGTTTTCGTGGCAATCCCACTTTTCAATCTATTACAATTTCCATTAGCAGTTTTTCCAAGTGTTATAACATCAATAATTGAAGCAAGTGTAGCATTGAGAAGAGTTGAAGAATACTTAACTTCAGAAGAATTGGATCCCAAAGCTGTTATAAGGCAAGGTTATTATGATACTGAAGATGAAAGAAGTGAATTAGTTTCCGTTAAAAATGGAACATTTGGATGGGGTAACTCAGGTGAAGCTGTATTAGAGGATATTAATTTAAGTGTAAAAAAGGGAGAGTTGGTTGCTATTGTTGGAAAAGTTGGTGAGTATAGCTATTGTTAAAGGGTGATTTATTTTATAAATTACTTAAATAAATTCTTCATGAATATTAGGTGCAGGAAAGTCTTCTTTGTTATCATCTTTATTGGGTGAAATGGAAAAAATTGGAGGAGAAGTTATTGTTAAAGGTCATGTTGCTTATGTACATCAAACACCATGGATTATGAATGCTACTTTACGAGATAATATTACATTTGGATATGAGTATAAGCCTGAATTATATGATGAAATCATTGAAGCATGCGCTTTAAAGCCTGATATAGCCATTCTTCCAGGTGGTGACTTAACAGAGATTGGAGAGAAAGGAATTAATTTATCTGGAGGACAGAAAGCAAGGGTTGCTTTGGCTCGAGCTGTTTATGCCAGAGCTGATGTATATTTGTTTGGTAAACTATTTATATACTAGTAGTTGTTAATATATTATTAATTAATATGTGTTTGATGTAACTTACTTCAATTTATAGACGATACATTATCTGCTGTTGATGCTCATGTTGGTAAGTGCTATTGTTTGATTAATTCATTTGGCGAAATTCTTATAACGAATTTATTATTTTATAATCTAGGAAAGCATATTTTTGATAAGGTGGTTGGTTCAAACGGTATCTTACGTACAAAGGCTCGTATATTTGTTACGCATGGAATCCATTATCTCTCAAAAACAGATTCCGTAGTAATGATGCGAGATGGAAAAATTATAGAACAAGGACATTTTGATTCATTAATGAAACTTAAATCTGAATTGTTTAATCTGATTGATGAATTTGGACAACAAGAAGAATCAAATAATTTATTAGATGATGAAACAACAGATGAACCAGAAGAATTAATGCCATTAGCTTATGAGACTGATGAAGTGGCTACTGATCAAAGATCAGAAGAAACTGTGAGTCAACTAAGAGAAAGAAGAGTTAGTGTTCCAAGTATACATAGGCGTGCTAGTACAGCTACAGTGAAAAATGAGAGCAAACGAGAACAACAAAAAAATGAATTAATTACTAAAGAGGAAATGGCTAAAGGGAGTGTGTCATGGCAAGTTTATTCATCCTATTTAAAGAGTTGTGGTGTTGTTACGATAACGTTTTGGATAATCACGTTAGTTATATCTCAAGGAATTCAAGTTGGTATGTGATTTACGCTCTTTCTTTTTCTTTTTCTTTTTTTGTTTATTTATTAAGAAATTATAAATTTTTAATTAGCTACGAACGTATTTCTTAAGTATTGGAGTTCTGAAGAGAGCAATGAGAGAATTCTATTATATTTTGTTATATATGGTTTATTAGGTCTGTTGTTTTCACTAATGGTAATATTTCAAACTATTGTACTTTGGGTATTTTGCGCTATTCGAGCAGCACGGAAGTTGCATCATCAAATGTTGGATGGAGTAATAAGGTATATTTAATAATCATTCATAATTTATGTTTAATTAAAAAATTAACTGTTTAAAATAATGCTTTGTTTTTATTACAGATCGCCAATGTCATTCTTTGTAAGTTAAAATTTTTTTCCAAAAATGGATTCTTAAATCAATACGCTAAAATATTTACATTTATTAGGATACAACACCTTTGGGAAGAATATTAAATAGATTTAGTAAGGTAATTGATATAATGTGTTGAAAAATTGTTTTTCTTTAAAATCACAAAGTTTAATAATGATGTAAATTTCCTTTGAATTTAGGATATATACACAATAGATGAGTTACTCCCACGTATATTTGCAGGATATTTTAGAACCTTTTTTGTAGTTTTATCCACAATTTTTGTTATTTCGTTTTCAACACCATTATTTATTATTTTGATTATTCCAATGAGTAAGTTGTTTTTATTTTATTATTCCGCATAGCAAAATTTGTAAATTTTAGATTATTTTTATTTGCATATCATTGTCTCATTAAATGTTTGACTGATTTTTTTCTTGCTTTGTTAAAAAGCCTTTATGTATATTTACATCCAAACTTATTACTTATCAACTTCACGAGAATTAAAACGATTAGATTCGGTCACAAGATCACCAATTTATGCACATTTCCAAGAAACTTTAGGAGGATTAACAACAATAAGAGCATTTCAACAGATGAATAGATTTATCAGGGATAATGAAACTAAGTTGGATGTAAATCAAAAAGCCTACTTTCCATCTTTTTCATCTAATAGATGGTTGGCCGTAAGATTAGAATTTTTAGGATCTATTATTATTTTTGGGGCAGCAATTTTTTCAGTTATTTCAGTTCTTACAACTGGTAATATTGATGCCGGACTTGTGGGATTATCAGTGTCTTATGCTCTTAGTGTTACCCAAGCTTTGAATTGGGCTGTAAGACAATTCTGTGAAATTGAAACAAATATTGTTTCCGTAGAACGAGTTAAAGAGGTAAGCCTGGTTTATAATAATGAAACTATCTTCAAAATAATTTAATAATTTTATATGACTGTTATTTAGTACATTGACTTGCCAAGTGAAGCGCCCGTTGTTATACAAGATAATAGACCAGATCCAACATGGCCACAAAATGGGCTAATTGAATATCAAAATTATTCTACGAGATATCGTCAAGGACTTGAATTGGTTTTAAAAGGCGTTTCATTTGTTATTAATCCCAGAGAAAAAGTTGGTATAGTTGGAAGAACTGGTGCAGGAAAATCAAGCTTAACATTAAGTTTATTTAGATTAATTGAAGCTGTAGATGGTGCCATTTTAATGGTAAGTCAATGTTAACTTTTTAAGTGGGAAATTGCTATTTTTTTAATTTTTTAAACAAAACTCAATTTTTGCTTAGGATGGAGTTGATATTTCTAAGATTGGATTATATGATTTGAGATCCAGACTTACAATTATACCACAAGATCCAATCCTATTTGAAGGTAACATTTTAATATATAACAGTATTAAATTTTTTACCATATGATTCATATGATTGATTGATTGATCGATTTAACCAGGAACCGTTGAATTTAATCTTGATCCATTCGAAACACATGATGAAGTTGAAATTTGGCAAGCATTACAAAGCGCACATTTGAAAGATTATATTTCAAAATTGGAAGGTAAATTACATGCAAAAATATTAGAAGGTGGTGATAATTTCAGTCAAGGACAAAGACAATTATTATGTTTGGCCAGAGCTTTATTAAGGTAAATCATTTTAAATGTTATTAATTATTATTTGATTTTTTAAGCTAAACAAATTTAATTTTTAACAGGAGATCAAATATTATTGTATTGGACGAAGGTTTGTTAAAATAAGATATTAAAATACTCTTTTTATTCTTTTATTAAATTATACAAGTAGTTAATATTCATATTCTATCTTTATTAGCTACTGCATGTGTTGACGTAGAAACAGATTTCCAAATTCAGAATACAATACGAAATGAATTCAATTGGGCTACTTTACTTTGCATTGCTCACCGTTTAAGAACTATAATCGATTATGATAGGGTGAGCTTTTTTTTTTATTTTTTATGTAAAAAAATTTGACATTTTCTAACGTGTTTGTCATATTTTTTAATATAACCTATATTAGGTCTTAGTTCTTGGTAAGTAGTTCTTATAATTTTTACTATGATGATTTTTTTATCGAGTATATAATAAACTCACCTATGAAATTTTTCTTAGATGAAGGGAATGTCGTGGAATTCGATACACCATATAACTTATTACAAAATCCAAACAGTTTATTCTACAAATTATGTGAGCAAAGTAATGAATTTGATTATTTAAAAGATCTTGCAACGAAAAATCATAGCCCAAAAAGATAAATATAAAGTTATATGAATTATATTCGATACACTTGTAATTTATATTAATTAATAGTCATGTCAATAGAATAGCAAATTGGGTTTATGAAAAATAAATGAGAATTGCATTAGAATAACAGAATTAGGATTTGATGAGATTGTTATGATTATTGTAAATTTAAATATATATTATGCCGCATGTACGGCACATCAATCTAAAAAAATTTAATCAGTTCGGGGTCCAATGAACAAGAACCTATAAAAGAAAAAAGTCAACATTTATTATTATGATTACTAAAAGTAAATAATGGTCCAGAAAATATTACCATTTATTTCTGCAATCGACAGCTTGTTTTCTGACTAATCTTTTCTTATCATCCAATGCTGCACTTAACTCTCTCAAAATTTTAGATTTAAATGGGAATAACACATCAAATGGTATGTGATTGGGTAGTATACCCAAACACTGCAGAGCAGATATACGGACTCGCTATAAATAAGAATTGTTATTATTTTAATTAATAAATTTTTAAGAATAGAATGATATTGTAAATACCATTGTGTTCCCTTTATCACCTTTTGTCGATGATAATAATAATGGTATTAAAGAGGATATATGTTCCGATATTATATGTGGAGCATTTGCAGATATTATATAAAATGTATCGATAGTTGATGACTTAAGTTCAGCGTCAGGTAATGATAGGGAATGGATAAGTAAAGTAATCAACTTTAAAAAGAAGTAATCAATAAAATTTATATAAATATTAATATTTAACACCAAGATAAATGAACGAGCGATAAGAAAACAAAGCACTTACTGATGGCAGTTCGCTTAATAACACTTGTTTAGGAATATTTCTTAATAAATGGGATAGAGCAATTAAATAATTATGCTTCACCTCTACATTTTAAAAAACAAAATCATGACGTCACTCATGTTGGTTAATTCACTGATTCATAAAAATTTTTGCTTACCATCACTGGATAATTTGAATCCTTCAGCCAAAATTGGCATACAATAATTAAAGAACCTTTGCTTATGCAGAGTCTATTACACAGATTGCATCATTTAACAAAATTTAATACTACATTCAACATATTTATCATTAGTAAAATATAAAAAAAGATGTATACCTTCACAACAGCAAAACTTTGTTTATTTAATAAATCACTTTCTCCAATTAACACTTCAAATCTTTCTGAAGCTCGTTTTCCTAACATTGGATCGTTAAATTGACTTGTTATTTGATCAACGCACCGATAACCCAATAAATGAGTGCGCAATATTAACGCTTTTGTAAGCTAAATATCAGAGAATTTTTAAGTATTTTGATTAAACCATTTGTTATATATCAGTAAATATCGGTAGTTTACCCAAATAAATATATCTAATGAAGGTTGCCTCATAACTTCATTTCCCGTACTAGAAAGCGCAAAATGATTCCTTAATTCTCCAAGAATTTTTGTTTCGACGAATTGATTCAACTCATTCTCTGAAATAAATCAAATATAAATAAAATAGCGAGGGCTTGTTGAATTTACAATGCACTAATTAAACTAACCTTGATTCCATTTATTTAGAATTGAAGCAGCTAATTGAGCTAAAGAATGGTGTTGGAGTTCATTCTTTGTATTCAAGGAAATTTCAACAAGATTCGATAAAAATTCTGAAATATTTGGTGATGGATAAGGAACCTTAAGCGAAAGATATTACTCTTAGCAATGCAATCACACACATATATGTATTATGTATTATATAAAACTCTATATAATACGTACTTCTTTCCGACAAGACCCAACAGCTGCCGTAAATAACAATGTTAGGTTTTGTTGTTGAGAACTGGATTCTACCTAATAAAATTATAGATAAAAAGGAGCGTAAATTTATGTAGATTATTATGAATGCAACAAAAGATCTTGTTAAATAAGCTTACAGAAAGCGGATAAAATGTTGTACTAAATAATGCTTTCTCTTGATCTGAAAATCCAAGATAATTTAAATTTAAATTTCCTTTCACGAATATCTCAAACATTTGAGAAATAAATATTGATTGTTCGCTAACAAGCGAGAGATAATATTTTAATAAACAATGTAATCTTATCAAAAAAATTTCCAAGGGAACATTTCATACCTAACATTCAAGTTCTTTGTAATGACACTTATTATCCCGGCGACAATTTTAATCACTTTTTTATCAAAAAATACACTCTGTATCGTATTTTCTATATCAGAGTTACCATATAAACTTGGTCCAATAGATTTAGTTAACAAATGAGGAATAATTATATCTACATAACGTGAAATATCTGAATGATGTGTCTTTTTTAAAAGTAAATTATGAAGAGATTGCAATAATGATTCTGAATATTCTAAGTCAATTTCAGCGGCTATGTTTAAAAGAAAAATATTTCAGAATTTATCAATTAATTTATAAATAAATATCGTAAAATAAGATAACTTACACGCAAAATCCAATTTATTTAAAATTTGTGGAACATATGCTTCAAATAATATAGGTTCAATAGCCAATTCAGACAAAGCATCCAAAGTTTTTACATAATTAGCTTTTTTTAAATTCATTCCATGAATATTATCAATTTTCATTTCATCTTTATCATAAGGTAGAATATCCAAGAAGACTGGAAGTGTAACCTCCAACACAATATTTGATTTATATTTAGCTATATTAGCTAAAGACTTTAATGCTTCATTTCTAATAAATGTGAATTGAAGAATTAAAATAGGTGTTTAAATAATGCATTTAAAAATAGATGAGCGTCTCTATCTAACTTACGAAATTTCCTGGTCAGTTTCTTCCAAGACTGCTCGATTAAAATATTGTAAAATAATTCCGACTTCATCATCATTAAAAAATTGGTGTAAAAATATCATATCATGCAACCCGAGTAATCCACAAAGTCTTAATTCATTATATTCATTTTGACTTAGTAAAGCTGAACTAAATATTTCTATATAAACATCTTTGAAAGATGATAACGGCGTGACAAAATCAGCATCTATAAAACCAAAGTAGAAAATCAATAAAGAATTTTATTGTATTAAAAAAACATTTTAGCGCGATGAATGGGGAAAATAAAAGTATATACCTAAATCTTGCAATGGGTTTTCGATTGATCCATATAGATTTTTGCTTGCCGTTATAAATACTCTTAATACTTCCAATATACCCTTTTTCCTTGTTGCTAACTCACTTTCTTTATATTGTTGTATTAAGACTCTCAAAGTAGCCAACATTACAATGTTAAAAGACGGGTCTATTAATTTTCAGAAATATTCAAATTCTTTCAGTTATCTTCTATCTTTACGGTACCCTCTCCAGAAACCTTTTGATTGTTTACCTGAAGCCATAGCACAATACATTAAAATCCTTCCACATGGTTTAGCCAATTTCAATTCTGGTTCTTTTAAATTTTCCATACATTCAGTTATAATAGTCTTTAAAAATTGTTGTAAATGATCCATTTTGTTTATTATTCCTGAAGATAATGTAGCAACGACACTTTTAATGGCTTCCAATGCTATAATTTCAAATGAATCATCAGTAGCATTTACTACCTAAAATACAAATGAGAGAAAAAAATTAGATTCAAAAGAAATTTGAATTAAAAAAAAAAGTTTGTCAAAAAATTTAGTACTTCTTCTCTAAGATATTCCCATAATTCTTCCAAGTGCGGCACAATTGATTTTGCACCATACACTGGAGCACATGATGCTAAAGTTTCCATCGAATCTTTCTATAAAAACAATTTATTAATATACTACCCTCGAAAAATAAAAATTTTTAAATATTATACCTTTGCATTGCCAGAACTTGAAGTTAATTTTTCTATTAATAATGGCATAGCAAGTTCGGCAAAATATGGTGTAGCTGACAAACATTCCCTAATAAATGTGTATTGTTTTAATATTAATAATAATAAATCCAAATAAACTTATTCAGATATATTTTTACCTGAGAGCAATTTTTAAGTCATCAGCTGTTATACCATATGGATCATCAGGTGGTGGTTTAAATGTAATTGGAAAATAACAAAATGTTACCTCAAACAACAACTGTATAAAATATATTTTTAAATAATTAATAAGATAATTAATAGTTATTCAATTTGATTTCGGACTATGTCAGGAACTAGAATCTCCAACTAAATTGAATTTCCCGATACGACTACCCACTAACAAGACCCGGATAAATGTTTTTATCAAAAGATTAAATGTAATTCATACTTCAATACGCTTAGAAATATCAAATTCGTGTATAATTAATTTAACTAAAGAAAATGCTAATAATAAATTTCTTGGATCTTTCTCTCCATCCATTACTTGGATAAATCCAATAACAAAATCTTGTTCCGCTTGCTTTAACGCTAATAAAATAAAAAATTCTAGTAAGTAAATGATTAAAATTTAAATTTAATATTAATCAAATTCTTACCACTTAAATGGTGCTTCAGCAGCCTATCAAATATTTGAAATACATAATGTCTAGTTGTCTGCTGAAATGATTGGACATTTACACTAGTAAATATCCTATCAAATAAATATTTAAAAACAATGTATATAATTAAAAATACATATTTTTATATATTATGCTTAAAACATTCACATATAATACGTACGACTTTGCAACCTTTACAGAATTTTCATCATGAAACGCATTAAAACGTGTAAGCGATTCTATTCCTTGCAATAATTCAGGTACACTTGCTGTATCTGATAACCTTTCGCAATAAAAATCCACCAACACATTTACTATAGAATTTATTGAAATATTTTAATAGTGTGAATAGTTCGTAGCTTGTTAAAGAAAACAAAAAAGTAAATTACTTGCTGCATTATTAACTTGCTCTTGTGGACAATCAGCAAGAACCGCTGATAAAAGTCCAGTTCCTGCGTTTACATTTACAAAGTGATTAAACAAAATAAATCAATCAATAATTTAATAATTTTCTAATTAGTATAACGAGTGATACATACCCTTGGCACGAATTGTAACATCTTCATTTGTCAAAAATTCGCCCAGTACTTGAACAAGAGTTATCAGAGTCGCTTGTCCACTTTTTATACCTTAAATCAAATAAAATATAAGTTCGAATGATTATTTAAAAAAAATAACGTAAATTTTCGTAAGTTGCATACTAGATACGATTTCGGAAACAATGGATTTTGCTTCTTCTGTTGCATCATTTGAAGTGACCATATAGTTCCTTACAAGTCGTTCCATTTTTTTTCAAAATTATTTTCTCCAATTAATCCGATAATTCTCGATAAATTCTAGAGTGAATTTTAAAAAATTTTTTGATTAAATTAAATTAAATAAAGAGAATTTATTATCATAACAAATTCCAAGACAAAATTTATTAAAATTGATAAGGATTGATAAAAAAAAAAAATGATTATCATTCATCTTTAGTCTGACTTCCTAATTTGTCTAATACGAATCAATTTTCCTAGTTAAGTCTCACATGTGCACAAGTCAAATTATCCTCCCATATTTTTATTTTTTTTTTATCTCTGTCATGTCAGATACTGCTCACGCGTTAAAAAGAATTAGAACACGGAGAAGATTATTTCGAACTCTTAAAAAATGGATTTCAAAACTTCGGTACTTATTAATGAAATTATACTGTTATTAGTATAATACTATTATTAACACACATGTTAATATAGGTTTCTTTTATTCGCTGTTGGGATATGTTGGCTATTTATCCTCCCATCTGAACAATATCACAAAAGCACCTATATTTCAGAAAACGCCCTTCTTCCTGGTCAGGTTTGTGAATTTATTTTTGAACCTATCTTCAAATAAAAATTCTATATAACATTATATTTTCATATTTTGTTATAGGTCAATACATATTATAGTTGGGGTCAAGTTCATGAAGCAGCAGCTTTTCGAGATAATATAACCTTATTATCAAATTCTTCAAATATAGAGTAGGTCAATTGATAAATAAGCAGAGGTATTTATTTGCAAACATAAATTTATAATACTTATCAATTCTTAGTATTATTTTTGAAAATAATTTAGGAAAGCTGCTTATATAGAAAATGAGTTACGAAAAGCTGGATTAAAAACAGCAATGCAAAATTTCACGTTTAACATGTCTGGAAAGGTAATTGCTTTATTTATAAAAACTCTTTTTTCTCTTAAATAACCTATGATTCATTCATTCATTTTGTTTAGAAAATTTCTGGAATAAATGTTTACGGTGTATTCAAAGCACCACGCGCAGATGGGACGGAGGCACTTGTATTGAGCGCTCCATGGAAATCAAATGATGGTGAAACGAGTAAGAATTTCATTTTTTTTTGATCCTGGTAAAATTTTTTTTACATTTTTTTTTTCAATTTGTAATTAATTGTTTTTTTTTAAAAAAAAAAAAATTAGTCAATACCAATGGAATAGCAGCTGCCCTGTCAATAGGAAAATTTTTCAAGGGTAAGAATATCAGTTTTTATAATTTTATGCATTGTTAAAATAAAAATATTATTATACTAAATCAAGTTTATTAGGTTACACTTATTGGTCCAAAGATATTATTCTTCTTATAACTGATGGTGGAGAAGCCGGTGTTCAGGCATGGCTTGAATCATATCATGACCATCCTCGATCAGGTTTGATTAATATTATTTATTTTGTAATTTTTATTATAAAATTTTAATTATTTTAATTTTTTAATTATTTCATTTTTATAAAGCCATTTCATCGACGCCATTATTTTTAAGGTCTGGTGCAATTCAAGCTGCTATAAATTTGGATTTTCCAAGCACTAATGATTACAAAGCATTGGGGATTTTCTTTGGTATTTAATTTATAAATTTATATTTTTACATCTGAAATTTATGTTTTAACATAATTGTTTGTATTTCAGAGGGTGTCAATGGACAACTACCTAATTTGGATTTAATAAACACGGTCATAAGAGTCTGTCGGAGTTCATACAGTATTCCCATTATGTTGCACGATTCGGGTCACCATTATTCTAATTATGATAACGGCAATTATTATGACTCCCTTCATAATTTATTGCAGACAATGAGACATCAGGCTTTATGTCATCCAACTGGAAGCCACGGCTTATTTTTCAGGTAAGTTTTTTGTTTATTGCAATTTTATTATTTTTTCAATTATTAGTTAACACTTCTATTGTAGGTATAAAATTGACGCCATAACTTTATATGGACATACTACTGCTCAAACCTCAAATTCATTCAGTTTTATAGAAATTGGATCGTAAGAGTTTATTGCATAATTTAGTTATCACTTTATTAAAAATTAAATAGTCTTTTAATTTTAATGATTAATAAATCATAGAATCGTGGAATCAACCTTTAGAAGCTTAAATAATCTTCTAGAACATCTCCATCAATCTTTTTTCTTCTATCTTTTACCGACTCCAGAACGATATATTTCTATAGGATCATATCTGCCACCTGCATTATTGTTGACTGTTGGATTGATTCTCCAAATATCCTTTGTTTTCTCCCTTTTTTTCTATATATTTTTGCTTAAAACCTCTATTATTATAAATCCTTAATATTTAACTTAAAATACGCCTTAGAACTATGGGGGAAAACAGGAGATGATTATGCTGAAGAATCAGTTTCTGAAAATTCTCAACCAGAATCAAGTTCATCAAGTAAAGATGATAATTATGTTGTTCCTTTACCATACAATAATCGACAAAGACAAATTTTATTTCCTATGACAGTCTTGATTGTTAGTCATTTTGCGGGATTACTTATTTTCTTTGTTATAACTAATCATTTTTCCTATAACCAATTGTCGAAAATTTTTGGTATACCGGTAAGAGATTTAGATGTAATAAATTTTCTATTTAGTATTCTAAATATATTAAATTTATTTTATTGTGTATTTAGGAATTTTTATTTACATTATCATTGATTACAAGCATATCAATATTAATACCAGCAACTTTAATACAGATACAAAAATCAGATTGGATGGTATTGAAATCATTTACTTTGGCATTTACAGCCATGATAATGTCATGTTTATCGGTGCTTAATTTTAGTCTAGCAGTTTTTAGTTCATTAATAGTCATAATCCCTTTTTCATTATTTAAACCAACTCCGAAATACAAATTATTACAATATTTACAATTGCTAGTATTGATAATGATATCACCACCTGGAATATTAATATTAAGTGGAACTAACCTAGAAAAATTTTTAAGGTGGGCTTTAATGGAGTACGAATTACTTGGAAGTTATTTATTACCTTTTATTTGTTGTTTTTATTGGCCCAGTATTTTAGTTTATAGTGTAATTATTTTTTCTGATAGTTAAATTTATAAAAAAAAGTAAAGATGCCATTATTTTATTATTTTAAATACTTGTATTTGTTATCTATAAACTAATAGAAGAATTATATATTTATTTTCTGCTCCCAATTTTAACGCAATTTTAACGTCCATGATGACACTTGTACTGATTTCCAATTCAATCTTCAGATTTCAGAACATGATCAATGAATGTACTTGAAACCTGTTATATTGCGAGTCACAATAAATGTCATTATTATGATCCAGAAGAAAATTTGGGCTCAACTATTTAATACAGTAGAATATGTGTTTATCATAAGTTTTTAACCATATTTTAAAAGTGAATTCAAGAAAACGCAAAAGTTTAATGTAATCATGTTGCTACTCTTGATTTGATCAGATGATAGACTGATAGGGTGGCGGCTGTGTAACCGTACTCATAATAAATAACTCTTGTGCCATCTTTTAGTTTCTTTGCTTTACCATAGAAACTTTATGTTCTGAATTAATAAGAATAGTTAAGAATGTGAGCATGTCTTTTTAGCTTTTGATTCACTAAAATAGCATTAAATAGTAATGAAAAAACCAATTTTTTCGTAACATTAATATTTTTTTTTAAAGAATTTTTTTTTTTGTTTTTAGAGTAGAATTGGTCCAATAGACAATAGACTAGGTATCTTAATTATCATATTAACAACTTTTTTTTTTTTATAATTTTACATTTATATTATTACTATTTATAGTTGTTAGTTGAATATAAAATGAATACAGTAAAGAGAAGTACGGAATTACCATTAATTAGCCTCGATAATATAGGAATCAATTCGACTGATCAAGATGAAGGAAGACAAATTAGTAAAGAAAAGCAACACCAAATTTGTCTAAATTTTATATTCATGTTAGGAATGTCACAAGGAATCAATGAAGAAGAAATTTCAAAAATTCTTTCCTCAAATTTAAAGGTTTTAGATTCTTTTGAAAATATAATTGGTACCATTTTAAATAAGATGGTTAAATATAAATCAAATGAAAACAAAAAATTTCAATCATCTAATAAGGTAGATCGATTAAATCAGTCATCAAAAAATGTGGAGGAAAGTACTATACTTCCTTTAGTTATGTACGAAAGTGATTATGATTCAGAAACTGTGAAAATATCTGATGAAAAAAATATCGTTAACTCTGATATAGAAAACATGGACACTTCTGATGAAGAGGAAGAATATATAGAATCTGATACCGATATTGAGGATATTATTGAACTTGATGAAAATTTTTTAATTGAGAAAGAAACAAAAGAAAATACTCTTATAAATACAGAACATAATAACAATGAAAAAAGAACGTCACAGAATTGTAATACTGTCGAAATCACTAAACCTAAAAATATAGATAGATTGATAATTACGAAAGATGATAACCCACCAAGATTTAAATTATTTTGTAAGTTTCTTTTTTTTTAAAAAAAAAATTATATTTTGTATCTAAAATCCTTCATTCATCTTTATATTTATTTAATTTTAATATAGGTAAATATATAAAAACTCCAGAATTTAAAAATCATGCTATGTCACTTAGATTACCACCGTTACCAGAAATTCGTGACGTTATTATTCGTGGAATTGCCAAAGGAAGAAATGAGTACCCAATGCAATGGAATCGTTACGAATTTTTAGGAAATCGTGTACTTAAATTATTTATCTCAAAAATTGTCCTAGAACATTTCAAACTAATTTTTAATCAATCATTAGAAAATGTTATTAATTTTTTAAATAGTAATAAATTATTTGCCGCCTATTGTATGTGCCTAAATTTACATGAGGATAATCATATATCTCAAGATGCTTGTTGTAAAACATACTCTAATGCTTTTAAAGCTTACTTTGGTGGATTGTACTTGAGTCAAGGTGAAAGTGGCGTAACTGAATATCTTACAAAGTTATTGATGCCTCTATTATATAATCTGGCTAATTATCAATCTAAAATCAAACCACGTATACTATGTGATAAATTACTAGGAAAGATAACTGGTGAATATTTTGATATGGAATGGCTTATTTAGGAAGAAGAGAGAAGATAAATTACTTTAGAATTGATATTTTAGAAAGCAATTAATAAACTTAATAATGAATGTTATTACATATCTATCCCTCGTGTGCCCAATCATTTTTGCTAATTTTTTTACTCAGCAAAGTGATTGTCTAGCCTTTAGGTCACCTTTTATACGTGCTACGTATGAAATAAATCACGCCCAATGAATTGGTAAGTTTTACCTATAAAAGTAAGTATTAAATATCTAATATTACAGATTTTTAAATTGGAATCCGAAGCCATATAATTTGAAGTCCGTTTACTTTTGGTTCTTGCTTTGATTATTTCGTTCAAAGTAGGTGATTTAATAAAGCGCGTTAATTTACTTTTATAAAACTTTTTTTAAAATAAAATTTAAGAAAAATTACAATGAAACAAATATAATATTAATTAATATTTTAGTAAAGATTTATTAAATCTAATACTGAAATACATTATTTTTTTTTAAAAAAAAAAGTTTATTCAGTTATTAAAATTGTTCTAATCATTTATATTGTTTTATAAAGAGGTTGCAAATCCAACACTCTTGTTTTTCATATCATATACTGAATAAACATTTTTTAAGAAAGGTACACCAATAAGCCAAGTATTAGCATCTAAAATTTCTATAGGTAATATGGTTGAAATACAATGAAATGAATCTACTGGTGATATACATAAATCTTTAGATTGAATAGGATAAACAATACCACCAATTTTAAAAGAAATTATAGTAGTTGAATTTGATGGAATAATATATAATTTAGAATCAGTAACATATTTTGCACCTGGAATTAAATTATGAACACTTGCAGCATCATTTTCAGGCATTAAAATATTTGAAGTTCCAGTATCAATAATTGCACTTCTTCCAATAAAAGAAATTGGTTGATTATCAACAATTGCATCATCTATATTTATTTGCCAAAGACCAAATGTAGCAGAAGTAGGATAAATAACTTTATTAAAATTAATTTTACCAGTAAATTTAGATTCATCAACTCCACCCAAAGTAAATGTTCCTTGATCATCAAAATCTAAAGCATGAGAAAGATGAAAACTAAATATTGGTTTAATTTCATTTTTTTTAACTAATGCTGATGTTAAAGTTGAAGTATTCATAGTATTTAAATCATCAAAAGCCAATCCTATAATCCCATCAGGAACAAAATTTGCATTATCATCAGAAATTTCATTTGCGAGACCAAAAATTTGTTGTTTAAGAACAAAATCACCAATTTTAATATCATCAATTCCAGTAATACCAGAAGCAGAACCGATACCAAATTTAATTGACCAAGGATTACCTGCAATTTTAAAAGTTTTTGATTTTGCAGAATCAAATTTATTATGATTTGTACAAGTAATTGAAATACAATCCTTATTTGGAACAAAAAGATTTGATGAACCAGTATCTAAAATCATATTAAAATCCTGATTTCCGATAGTAAGTTTTCCATAATATCCAATATCATTTTGTTCAACTTTTAAGATAACTGTATCCTGTTTTGAAGCTCTACGATAAAGACTGCGACGATTTTTTGAATTTAATTTTGAATATTTATTTAAAGCAGCTTTTTTCGTATACTTTGCATAATCATAAACATCAATATTCGTGGAAGGAGACTTGGACAACTTTATACTAAATAAAGGTTCAGCATTAATGATGACTGCAGGAAGGATTATAAAGAAGAAGACAAGTTTCATAGTTTTCATGGTTACAAAAAAAATATATATATATATTTTTATATTTAGTATGAAACGATGTTAAAAATAATAAAGGTTAGAACCTTTCTTTTTTTTTTCAACGATATCCCAAAAAAAGGATGGAAGAATTATGATGCAGAGAAAATAATTAATATTTATAGAAAATTATTGTTTTACAGTATACAATGTATACAAAAAGCGGTCAATGAAAAATTGGTCAATAAAAGAAACAGAGGTTCTGCGGTTAATAATAGTTAACAAAACGGAGTTTCGCTTTTGACCGTTCCATTATAGAAATTGTCGGATAACCTACGATTAAGAGAAGCTAAAAATAAGTGTATGATATATTCTTGGCAATTCGTTTTTTTGTCGAAGATCATAATATAATTATCTATTATTATTGGCGTTCATTTTATTATTAAGTTAATATTAGTAAATAGGAAGTACGAACCCGAACTCCGAGCGTACAAATTTAGATTACAAAGGAATATCCATAAACTAAACAAAGTCATTATTTATTATGAACTTACCATATTATACAATAAGTTACACCCGTTTAGGGGGGGATTTTTTTTTTTAAATGCTACCCATTCAATTTGGAATATTCTAGCGTAATAAATACTATAACTGCGTCACTATTGTGTCTTTTACAATAAGAACATGATAGTGAAATTTGCTGAGCTAAATGAAATAATTAATCAACCACAATTGATAATTTGTAAATTAATGGTAAGATATTTCTTATTTTATTTATTATTAACGCCATTAGCGCCGAAGTGACTATTATATATATCATTTAGACAATGTACATTTTGTGTGTGACTATCGTACTAAATACATGTATGCACAGTAAATATTAGAGAAAGTCTTTCGATCGAATGTGTCAGAATTACGCTTATCGCGTGATCTTTGCAACGTGACTCGATCATTTTTTAACAATGTAAAAAATTGTCGTGGTTACTCCATGCATATTATTTTTTTTTTACAAAATTTTCAGGGATGAATTCTNAAAAAAAAAAAAAAAAAAAAAAAAAAGGTCAAATGTTTCAATGTTTCAAATGTTGCATATTGTTACCTCTCCTTTCTTTTTATATTTCAATTTTTATTATCGGAAGTAGATCAAAAATGATCGGAATCTTTTATAACCCAGATTTAATCTGATGATGAACTTATCATTATTTTATCTTTTCAAGTATTTGAACCTTTTAATAAAACATTAGAAATTTTTTTATCACGTAAATTCTAGAAATTTATTTCAAATTATAAATCATAATATTGGAAAATTAAAATTAAATAAAAAAATTATTTGACTTTTCTCCGATAAAAATAACCTTTCAAATTATGAAACCAAATGATAAATTCACATTTCTAAATAATAATAATTCTTAATGTTTCACATTATTTATATTTTGTCAAACAATAATTGATTCAATAAAATTTTTTTCTTGAAAAAAAAAAAAACTAAAAATTTGATCAAAAAAAGTAAAATATTACATCTTTTAACTTTTTTTGGATAATTAATAAGTTTACTGTTTCATTTTAACGAAAGTTAATTATTAACAATAAATTTTTTTTTAACTTTTTATACTATTAAAATTCAAAGATTGAGACAGAAATAGCATAAAATTCATTACCTAACAACTTCATAATACACGAAATGTTAATGCTGCGGCTCCATACCCCAATATATGATCTACTCTGATCCCACTTAGAGTTAATACGTACTAAAATTAGAAAATGTAATTCTCACTTTTTGATCATAATATTTATTTTTATAATCAAGGATTTGTTTCAAGATAAATTATCAATATGCAAGATTAAAGGATTAAAGAAAAAAAGTGTCTCAGACATGTTATAAATACGCTTCAATTTTCCTTCTTCAATTCACAACAAAAAATTTCATTTCTCATTTAAAAAAACAAAAAAACAAAAATTTTAAAAAAATAATTGAATAAGAAAAAAAACCCCATTTTTCTTTTACTTCATACAAATTCTTCTTTCATACAAATCTTCTTCTTTTGTTTAACTGGTTTAAACAAACAAATTCAAGAAAAAAAAAACACTTCTTTTACTTTACATTTTATCAAATCACAAAAAAAAAAACAAAATGATGAACTCAAGATTTATCGTATTTTCCGCTTTCTTGTTAGTTTTGATTTCCATGATTCTTTCAGTTTCTGCCGCTCCCGTACCTCGTTCAGGTAAATATTATATAAATAATTAAAAATTTATCATTGATCATATCTTTTGAGAAAATTCTCCATTATTAATACATTTATTTATCTTTTATTTTAGATCTCATTGCACGTGCTAAAGAAGCTGATATTAATGACCAAGATGTTTTATTAACAGATGCTATCCCCGTTACTTCTAATGGTGGTGATTTAAAACCTTATAATAAAGATGATGAAGTAGATCAAAAAGTTGTAGATGATGGTAACGAATCTCAAGGGGATGGTAAAGGACTCAAAATTTAACGGTTATCCCTTAATAATTTAAACTACATATAAATTAATTTAATAATTTATCTTGTTGGAAACTGCGTTTCACTTTTTTTCTTTTACTTTTTTTTTTTTTTACTCTATTAAAATGTTTATAAATGTATCTTTTACACATCATTTGTAATTTATTTATTGTATATTTTGATTATATATATTCGATCGTTTTTTTTTTCTTAATAAAAGATTTTAGAATTTGAATTATTTTTTTAAAAAAATTTACTGCGCCGAAATTTTTTTTTAATTGTCCACGTTATATTGTGTTACGCTATTGTTTGGATTTCCCCAAGTTTCATAATTTGTTTATTTTTGCTACAAATCTGAAACTTTTATCGTTCATTTACCTGCATTTACATTACCTCGCATTTTACCCTGCAATAATATTAGTATTAAAAAAAGCGAATTCTAATTGAAGTAAAAAAATGGATTTTTGTTTTTTTTTTGTTTACTTGATTTTTCTTTTGAGATAAAAGGTATCAAGGTATCCATCCATATATCACATATAGAATAGACCTTCCATTCAAAATATTCGAATTTCAAAGTTATTTCCCTTAAAAGGTATACAATGATGATCTTACACATATATGGTAAATTACTTAATTTATGTAATAAACTCAAATTCCGATCCATTGATTTTATGAAACGTTTATTATGCGAATTTTCTATCTACGTAATCACGTAATCACCTGCTTTCTGGTGAATTATTATTCAAAATTAGAAAATATTCAAATATTCACATTTTCATGTTTCAGGATATTTTTGCATTGTTCTTTTTCTACGATTAAAAAAAAAAAAAATTTTTTTTTTTTTTTTTTTTCTCCTGCATTTATATTTCAATTTATTATGATAATTCTTTTGCTAATTGGTTCATATTTTATATTTGAAACTGTGTTCCCCCTATCCAATTACCTTTTATGTTAATATAATGCAGAACCTCTATTCAATTCTACCATTAGACCTATTTAAATACTTAAATGTTTCAAAATCTTGTTAATAAATCTAAAAAGAACTTTTATATATTTATTTATTGTCCGACAGAATAAGGAATACAAATTTGCAAACAAAGAAATTCTTCCGAAAGAATCATAGTAATATTACCAAATCACCGTAATCGAATATCGCTCGTGAAAAAAAATATTGACAGTAAGATTGTGTTACGTAATTATGCAAAAATGCCGCAAATGATTAGATCAATTAGATGATCAATTGATCGATATTAACCAATAAAAACTAGATCAAAAAGCACTAAACATTTTTTTTAAAAAACATCATCGTATTGTTTCACAAAGAATCTTGCGCTCGCCACTCCAAACATCCATGGATACCTAGAAGCTACAACCATGTTCGTCTTTCGTCGTTTTGATTCTTGTAATTTATAATAATCGATGCATTTCAACTTTATCTCTGATAAGAACATTCAAATCTATATTATAAATAATAAATGATTTAAAATCGATTCATTAAAAAAATCTTTGATGTTTACGTGGCAATTATAATTATATTAGTATAAAAAGACGGAATTTAAATAAAGTAATCAATTGATTTAAATGGCGTTTGACGTTTGAAGGTTGTAACAGAAAAATGTACGAAAGTTATGAGTTTATGTAATATTGAATTGTTTATTGACCGTAGACTTTTACCAACATAGGTTGTAATTTATACAAGGAGTATTAAACTAGAGGAAAGCCTTTATAGTTAAAACTGCTTTCCTAAGCTCTGCATAGTGATTTACCTATGTTTATTATTAACTTTTGTATACAATACGTATTTGTCTCATTTGAATTTAATCAAAGGAAATTTCAATAAATTATTAGATCTTAGTCTTTGGACTATGTAATTAATACATTTGCGAAAATTAAAAATTTAATAATCAAAATAATAATCAAATATATAAAAATTTCATATAATTATATGTATTAATTTGTTATTATTAATCTATTAATATAATTTTTTTTATAAATAATAATTTAAAAGAGTTTTGCTAACTTGCCCTCTGGGTTAAATAACCTGGATTAAATCACTCCCCCAAAATTTATATTTTTATACATCAATATTTTTTTTTTTTAAAAAAAAAAAAATTATTTGTACGGTGGGTGACATCCACTTTTTAATTTTATTTTCGTATATAATATATCACATGACTGTATTAATCACATGACCTTACATTTCAACCAATCATGATTAAGTATTTGTCATATATATATATATAATTCTGGCTAAATTTATAATGCGGCCAAGACCAAATTGGATATACATGTAATTCTGGCTAAAATATTATAATGCAGGCCAAGGCCAAATTGGAATCAGATATATAAAATTCCATATTTTTAAAAGCTTATAACTTTTGATACAATAATCTGATTTTAATTATCACAATATAGTTAAATAGAATATGTCAAGAAGTATTAATTAGCATTGAGTTTTTTTTAAAAATAATTTCTCAATATTTTTTTATTAGCAATTAAAGATCACCAATTTTATTGGATGTCTTATGGTGTCACCTACTATATTATTATTTATTCCAATTACATAGATTTTATTTATTTGAATATTATAAAGTATAATAATTATATTTTTGGCAATGTCTCTCATTTTTTATTGTAATTATAATTTACATTTTTTTTTTGAAAATTTGGGCAAAATTATAAAAATTATATAAAATTTACTAGCAGATTAAATCACCAGTTAAATCACCCTGTGTTAAAATTAGTTTTATATATTTAAAAATATAATAATAAATTTTAAAATAAAACCTTATATTTAAATTATAATCACCAACTATTGTATATTAAAATTTTATTATTTTTAATTTACTTACAAAATATAATAAAATTATGGCAAAATTTTAATATTACTAGAAAATAGAAACTGTTAGAATATCTGAAGTATTCAGTATAATTACATGATCATCAATAATTGTACATTTAATACTAAAAAAAATTGTCAGCATGCTGTGTATACCCAAATTCTTGTGTAATATTTATCTAAGATATCATCTCACTAAATACTTTTGTTCTAAATCACAATATAATTAGTTTTTACCCTTAATATAATTTTTTCAATATTATTTCTTATTAAAATAAGTAAAACTTTAGCACTTTCTGCTTAAAGTTTTACTTATTTATTTATTGATACTGTAATATCATATAACTAAATTTGTATATATATAACACAAAATTTCATTTATCAATCAGGATATAGTACAGAATGACATTGTATTTGAAATGCGTAAAAGTAAAATGTCTTCATATTTCAGACAAAAATAATTTTTATTAGACTGAACAAAATTAATTTTTTAGATTTTTGTGACCTATCCATGTTAGTTTTACAAAAATTCAGGAATTTTTTTTTTATAGTAAAATTTTTTATTACGTGATTTAACATAATAAAATTGTATATACATACTTTTATAATTCTGAACAGAATTGATTTATATTAACAGATTTCCAATATTTTAATTTCTCTAAAGCTTTTATAAAAATGCAAAACTCTTTAATAATTTCAGGTTTCCTCTATATATTTTCATTTAAAATTTCTATATATTCTGCTTTTCCTTTATCATAGATATCCCTTATTAAACTGTTTTACAGCCAAATTTGCCTGCAATTTTGTTTTTTAATTAAAGATACTTTTAAATACCTTAAAATATTTTATTACATAAACTAATATTTTTGTAATAAATTTTATAGTATTTTTTAAGTAAAAATTGAAAAAAAATTCAATTTGATTAATGATTTTTTAAAAGTAAATGATTGACAAATTATAACAAATAGTAGCTAAATTTTTTAAATTGAAATATTTTTTTATCCATTAATTTTAGAAATATAAAATTATCACCATTTAATGTGTCTTAATAAGAAGAATCTGATAAAAATAAAATTTGTTCTTTTACAAATATTATGTAATAGGATAACTTATAAAATCTAAAAATTTATAAATTAATATAACTTTTTATTTATTAATTTTAAAGTTATAATTTTATTACCATTAAATGCATTTTAATAAGAGGAATATAATAAATATAATTTTATCTTTCTATGATCACTAAATATTAAAATATTTTAAAATTCAAAAATTTTTAAAATTAATTTTAGTCCTTATAGTTTAAAGGATAAAGGCAGCACACAAAATCTATTCAAATTTTGCCAGATTTTCCAAAAGGTTTTTAAAAAATCTGGTAAAATTTTTTAAATCTTGAATGATTTTGGACATTTTACTGCAGATTTCAGTATTTTTCAAAAGATTTCTGAAATTTTTCTAAAAATTTTTTATGTACTGAATAGAAGTTAACAAATTTTGATTTTCTGCAATTATAACTCTTTAATTAATTAAGTATTCAGCATATTTTAGAAGATTAGTTATATAAAGTAGTAAAGGTTCTTTAAGCCAAGCAAATTTAGATTTTTCTATCCATGGTAATTCAATATAATTTATCAGAATTTTATAATAATTTTGCAATTCTTCTGAATTAAATAATCTTCTTGATTTTTTGTATCTTTTAAAATGGGTTTAATTAAAAAACCTAGTAAATAAAATAAAGTCAGAATTTTGTATCTATTATTTAATAATTAATGTTTTATAAGAACAAATATCAAAATATCAAATAGATTTTGTTAAACAAATCTTTTTCCAATATTATTTGCATTATCTTTTCCTATCCTTATAAAAATTCCACATTCTTAAAATATTCTAGTTTTATAGTTAAAATATCCTTATACAGTAATAATATTCTTAAAATATACTAAAAATTGAACAGACAGATTATTTAGATAGAATTTTATAATAATAAATTATTTTAAATTATATAAAAAATATACTGAATTTTTTGAATTGTAATATTAATGGATATTTAAAATATCTTGATTGGATATGCAAAATATCCTTAAAATTAATTTACCAATAATTTAAGTATATATTAAATTCAATCAGCAAAAAAATATACTAAATATATACTTAAAAATAAAGATAAAAAATGCCAATATAATTAAATAATTTTTTTTTATCTGATTTTTTAGTCTTTAATGTGATTTGATTTTATTTAAAGATGTAATTTGATTACTAATGAAATATAATGATATTAAATTGATCAGTAAAAAAATATACTAAATATACAGTCAACCCTTTTTATAGTGAATTTTGATAAAACGAATTTCATGATATAACAGGACCCTGAATATATATAAAAAGGTAAGGTGACATTCGAAC